AAGAATGTCTTTTCAGCTTGGAGGAGCCCTGGTCATGACTGTCGCTCAGGGACTGCTGTGTGTGTTTGTCCATTGTTCTGCTGTTACAACACAGAGGAACATGGTGCAGTCTTCTGTGGATTCAAGTATCTCAAGTGGACGTGCAAATGTGTGTGGGGGACAAATAGAACTGGCACCGCAACATTCTTTTTTGCAAAATGCATCTGCAAAAAGCTTTTTGATTCAACTTTGTGTCTTTGAGTTTGTTATTGTGTTGAGTTGTGTTGTGAGTCTAACTGACATGACCATCCATTTTCAATAGGACATGAGTGAATTGCTTCACACGGCATTGTGGGATTCAAGGCTTTTTGGCACAGTGACATGTAAATAGTTAGAGAAAATGCAGGTTGGTTTACAGTGTTTGCTAATGAGCAAGGTACTGGCTAGCTTGCAAGCGTTGATACACAGCATGATTTGTTCAGTTCTGGTGGCCTTCACTGTAAAGATGTTTCCAGACAATGTTTAGTAAATTTTTGCCCCTTTTTTTTTTGGCTGACTGAATTTATCAAGAATTCTGGTTTGATCTGTTATTTCTCTTCAGTGTCTCCTTTCTTCTTTTGTCTCTGCATTTTCATAAATACAGGCAAATTGGCATCTCATCACTTCTTTCCACTGACCGTCATAAGCTACATGCTTGGTCACACTTGAACCTCTTCACAGGAGACATTTTGATGTGTCACAGCAGCAAAGTACAGGTGTAAGTATTAAAATTCATAATGGCTGAATTCCATTTAGCTGTTTCAGGTATTGTTGCTGTCCATGTTGACTCACTGTCAAGACTTCCTGGGACACCTAAATTGAATGGAGTGTAACATCTTTTATTCCAAGTAGATTTTATTGTTTTGTGTTGTTTGAGGGTTTTTGCAAATCACTTCATAATCTTTATAACTTTATTTTTACATTTAGTAATTATTAATATTATTGTAAATCTTACTTCATCTGATTTAGGAATTACTCTGACAAACATGAACTATATTCATCAAACTGGCACATTACTTCTCACCACACCATACAGGGACATCTGTCTGTCCGTGTTAATTGGCATTAACCTTTTTAGGCTGGGCGACCCCGTTTTTCATGCCCAGCACACTTGCACTGGGGCATATGGGGTGTATGTGTGTGTTGCAAAATAGGATGCAATGGTGCACAATAAAAGTGAAAATAACTTTTTTTTTAAATGAAATAATTAGTTTGCTGTTAGGTGAATGAATAATATCTACTCAATATTCACATTTCACATGTGAGCTTCTGCATACACAGAGACACACGCCCTAACACTGGAGCACAAAGGGTGCACACTCCAAAGCATATGGCCCAGGGCAACAAAAATATGTTAATGCTGATTGAATATGGTGCTCTAGACTAATGTTAGCAGGCTGAGTAGGCCAGATGCTAATCCCAGGTGCTGTAACAGAATGGAGCTGGTTTAGCTCTGAACTTACTGATGTTAGAGAATAAAAAAGTGATTAGATTGATGGGACACCACTTAGAAAAACATGTGCTTTCAGGTCTTGGTGAGATTTCCACCATTTGCATTACTGCTATTAATGATGCAAGCAGTTTAGCAGCAGGACCAAAGAGGTTATGAGATTTATTTGACAGCAAACTGCAGGGTGGCTTCAGTTTTGTCCACTGGTTGATGGTCACTGGGAAGTAGAACAAAAGATGATAAACCATTAAAATGATTTTAATTTAAAGAACTGAGAGCAAGGCAAGAAATTTTCTGTCCACAACAATGTGATGGAAAACAATTTTACAGTTACTTTAAAATTATTAGGACCCACTTTTTTCTTTATGAACCAGTAGTGCTCGGTTCTGTCCAGCCTGGAGGCTTCTGGATCACACAAAGTAAAATGTCTGTCATTCCTTTTCAGGTGTTTTGTTAAAGGTGTCATTTTTGGTCAGATTGTAGCCTAATGATTTTAGTTTACTCATTTGATCCGCTGTAGAGCTGTGGAAAAAGTAACTATGCAGACCTTAAGTGGGATTATTTATTTATTTTGGTATTTCCTTTTAGTTCAGTGGAGACTTCTGCATCTTGTTTGTTTGTCAGAGAGGGATAAAGCCTCTGTGTTTGACTGAAAGCGCTGCCATCAAAACCCTAACATCAGCTCCAGGGTGTCCAATAAGGAGTGAGATTCAGTGTCCCGCCCTGCCTCCCAGGTGAGCTAAAGAGTCAGACTTCATCGGATTTCTGTCGGACACTTTCTGAAACACACTTCGTGGCCGTTCTGGCTTCACTCTCTTTGGCCCAAATGGTTTTCAGATCGCAGCTCGACTTTTTCTCGGCCTCCCGTCTCCTCATGCCCTTGTTTGCGGATGGTCCCTCTATCCCGGCCGGCTCCCGGTCTCCAGAGGATGCCCCCGCCGCCTGCCCTCCCCTGGCTCTCCCGGGGCTGTGTTTCTCGGCGGCGCAGATCGCCAGCGTGTGCGAGACCCTGGAGGAGACCGGAGACATCGAGCGGCTTGCTCGCTTCCTTTGGTCACTCCCGGTGACTGCAGACGGGCGCGATTCTGAGCACGAGTCCGTGCAGCGGGCTCGCGCCGTGGTGGCCTATCACACAGGGAGTTTCCGCGAGCTGTATCGCATCCTGGAGACGCACCGCTTTACGCGCGCCTCCCACGGTAAACTGCAGGTGATGTGGCTCGAAGCTCACTACCGAGAGGCAGAGAAGCTCCGGGGGCGGCCGCTCGGACCGGTGGACAAGTATCGCGTGAGGAAAAAGTTCCCGTTACCGAGGACGATTTGGGACGGAGAGCAGAAGACACATTGCTTCAAAGAGCACACCCGGGGTCTGCTGAGAGAGTGGTACCTGCAGGACCCGTACCCGAACCCCGGGAAGAAGCGGGAACTGGCACACGCCACCGGCCTGACACCGACTCAGGTTGGGAACTGGTTCAAAAACCGGAGACAGAGAGACCGGGCAGCAGCAGCCAAACACAGGTCAGTAACTTTACCTTGAAACAAGCTGTCCATTCAGTGTTACAGTTGGCAACAAGGAGCAGAAAGAAATGCACTTATTGCCCTGGACAGCAGCCTAAAAGTAGTATTAACATTAAGCCATTCAATACCTATAGTTTTTCTTGGCATAGTTTACAATACGGCCAAAATCAAGACAACTCTATTTGTCCAAATGTTGTTTTTCCTTTATCGATCACTCACTTACTCTTCCACTAATTCCCTTAAGCGACTTCTTCTCCACAGGTGGCTAAAGGATGTGCTTCGTGCGTAACAGCGCGGTCATTCCGCTTGTAATTGTTCCGTCTTGCTGTCGGTTCGACCTGGTCGATCTTAATCCCCTTCACTAGCTGTAATTTACTTTAGGTGTAGTATGGGGCTCGGTGATGCAGTTGGTGAACGTAAAACGTGCACGAATGGCTGCAAAGTAGATGCATGTATAGGATCCAAAAGTTACTATGGCTTGACAATACATGTATTTCTAAGATTTAGATGAATTTGAATCAATTTAACATTTAATCGGGAGCTTTATTTTTCCTAAAACAAAGTTTGTTTTTCAATTTTAACATGTATTTTATGTCATTTTAATAAAATGCATGTTAACACTTTAGATTTTGACAGACTTTGCTATTTTTGGTGTCTTTATTCTTCTGCTCATTTGCAGGTTGCAGCACCACCGGATGTGTCCGGAGAGTGCACGTGCACTTAGCGGTGGAGAGTGCAGCCCGGACGGGAGCGGGGAGCGCGCAGATAGAGAAACCCTTCTCACCGTGACAGACAGTGACTCTGACTTGGATGTCTGAAACGTTTAATCCATGAAATGGACCTTGAGAGGCATGTGATGTTCCGTGGAGCAGGATGTATGAGGACAAAAGGCTGGCCAGGGGTTCAGTAGCCTAAATGTTCAGGGAACCAAACAGCTTCATCCTAAATATCACCCCAGCCTTCCAATAGGTACCTTAAACACCGGTTACATGAATATTTAACTACATCACTGGATGATGACCCAGCTGATCAAACTAACCTGGACCACTGATGGATTTTGATCCACAGAGCCCCACATAGGAGGACTGAAACCTGCCAGTATACTCACTCTTATTTTCTCTAATTGTGTGTCATTGTCCTTTAAAAACATTAAACTAGTTGTTTCTTTAGAGACCCCTGAAGGCCCTTGGATATCCACTGCTGTAGACAATCAACACACACTGAAGCCAGCTTCCCTGTCTGGCTGTCTGTATGTTTATGGTTCACTTTATTTAAAGTAGTCGGAATTCACGTTGCAGTTTGCGTGATGCTATGTCCTACTTTATGTTCAGCTGGTGACGCTGTATACATGTTTTCGTATTTTATATAAAATAAAGTATTTAAAATATTACTGTTATTGTGCGTAATTTTTAATGATACACTTCCTGCAGTATCCCTGCAAGGAGTGTGCTTGTGTGTGTGTGTGTGTGTGTGTGTGTGTGTGTGTGATATTTTTTA